GCTAATATTTTTTTCTTCAAAAATTGCTGATAACTTTTTACAAAAATGTATTGATTTTATCAAATTCTATTTTTACACTTTCATAGTGTTTTGCCCCCGGTTTAGGGTTAACTAATTGCCCATAGCTGGGACTCTAACATGTGCTACCACCTCGGGTCAGTGTGAATCTGGGAATGCCAACAATTAAGAGGTGGTTCCACGCTCCTCAAAACCTCCTGGTCAGAGGTCTTGTTGTTGAATGTATGTCATCATCTTACCCAGAACGCAGATGTATTTTATCGTCTTACCCAGAACGCAGATGTATTTTATCGTCTTACCCAGAACGCAGATGTATTTTATCGTTTTACCCAGGACGCGGATGTATTTTATCGTCTTACCCAGGACGCGGATGTATTTTATCGTCTTACTCAGAACGCGGATGTATTTTATCGTCTTACTCAGAACGCGGATGTATTTTATCGTCTTTGCCAGAACGCAGGTGTATTTTATCGTCTTTGCCAGGACGCCTCATTTGTTGTCTTACCCTTCTGCAGAGGGGCAATCGGCGTATTCCGAAGCCCCAGCCGACAGGCCGGGTCCTTTCAGGTCGTTTGCGATCAAGGCTCTCCACAAAGTTCTATTCTTTCTAACTTGAAGTAGTATATTTCATTATTATTCCTCCCAGCTTCTGTTCTGCCATTCCTTTAGATTAGCTTGTTAGGTAGTTTGCTTGATTTTTCCCTTGGCTTGCCTTCAGTAAGCCTTCTGAGTGTCAAATTCTCCAAGCCCATTTCTCATTATGTTTCCTCATTATGTCCCAGAAATTTAAAGTTTCTAAGTAAAATCCTCCTTTTTGTTCCCCGTTTTCTAAAACTTCCTCATTGTGCACATGTCCCGTGCATGCTATTGTCAGCTTATTTCTCTCGACTCACGTGTTGTTTCATTAAAATATCTGGTTACCGGTGAGGAAATTGTCCAGTGTTCGTCGCTTTATAGTAGGACTGATATTACACATTAACTCACAGCTTTTTTTTTCTTTGTTTCTAATGACATGTTTCTTAAGACTGTGTTTAGCATTTGGAAGGTATGTTTCGCTATTCTAACGCGACTTCGGATTTCGATGTCATATTTTTCTTCATCTGCATTTTATATTTTGTGAAATTGTTTTCGCTGGGGTTGGGCGATCCGATTGAATTTCAATTTGTTAATTTTCATTTTCTTTTGACTGGGGTGGAGAAATGGATAGCCGCTCGGATTGAAGAATCGAAGAGCAGAGTTCGAATTCCAGTCTAATCCATTACATTCACTTACGTGCTAATACCCTTGGGAATGGTATGAATCCTCTTCTGCGCCCCCACCATATATGTGTAAATAGCAGAACAGACCGGGTTCTAGAGCCTTTGATGGAGACTGGTCTACCGCTGAAAGAATTGGCAACCTACTGCAGGAAAAAATCTGCCTTGTCAGCCATGTATCCAAAGATACTTTATCGCCTAAGCGTGTACCACGCATGGCACATAACTGAATCTCTAGGATAAATTCTATTTTTTTTTTGTTATATGCCGTGATTATTTGCATAGTTCTTAGTCTATGACATTTCCTGCCCATTCATATCTACTTTTCTTCTGCATTTTCTGAGAAGATTGATGTTTCAGTTAGTCAGAGTCTGCTTATTATTTTGATGCCATATCTGGTTTGGGGTTGCCCAGTCCTCTCTTTCAAACCTTAACGAAATTCAGAAGAATTTACACGGCCTTGCAGGCGATGAATTATTTCCCATCTTACTACCCTCCCTGCGGCATACTCAACGTCTCAAGTTTCTCACAGTTCTATCGCAATTTCTATGGAAAATGTTCTGAAGAGCTACAATCGTTAGTTCAACCAATTCAGACCTTTACAGCTAAGATCCACCTTGCCATATAAGAAGGGGCCAACCATTCTCATACTCTTCAGATTTTATTGGTTTGAAGGCAGTTCTTTCCTGAGATACGCTACTTTACGGAAGATTCACCCAAGTAGAGCCTTTTTCAAACACTACAATTTTAGACTGCCTTAGGGTCAACTTTTTACTAATTGTGCGTATCCTCATAATCTGCACTAATTTTCCCGCTTACCTCTGCTATCTCCATATTGCATCTTCATTTAATAGTTCTTTACCTTGAGGGCTAATATATGGATCTTTTATTGAGTGAAAATTTTGTAAGAAAAATGCATAAGTGGTTTATTTAGATTTTATTGAAGTCCAGTATTAATAGAGATTCTGTTTTCTCACTTTAGATGTCCCCTTTACAGTCCTATCCATTGCATCTTACCTGTTTTCTTTGTCTATTGAAATGGAAGTTCAGTTCTATTCGTTAAAGAGCAAGACACTTAGACGATCAACAATTTTCTGTGTTGTTGCTCCTTATTTCACACACACACACACACACACACACACACACACACACACACACACACACACACACAGGGTGTCCATAAAGTTAAAACATTTATGACTTTATTTGTATTTGCGATAGAAATAATTTGTAAAAAGGATTAGAAAGAAGTCAATCTATATTTTTTAAGGTTTTATTGAAATTTTATTTAAGTTTCCACATGTCCTCGATCATTGACAATACAAAGGGTAATACGATTTTGCAGTTCACGGAAAACATTTGCCAACTGATTTACAGTAATGCTTGAAATCACATTAGTTATTTTAGCTATACTTAAAACTATGTACATTAAAGTTTATAAATTTTTTTAAAGATACAGTATCGCAAATACAAATAAAGTTATAAATTTTTTCAATAGCGAAATCCTAGATAATATTTTGAACACTTGTATATCAGTTATATCACTTTATAATCCAAGATACTTGCTGTTTTGCATCATTATCAGGGTCCTTGTATAATTATCGTATTATAGAATGTGTATTTCTTTCAATGATTAAAATGATTTTTCAGCATAAAACTTTCCTTTTACCTTCATTCGATAATGAAATTTATGACAAATATCAAGTGGAAGATATTTGTAAGTGCCAGATATTTTTGCTATTATTTATCGGAACTTGGGAAATAAACGAATTGACTCAAAAGGTATAAACAAATAATATATATTTATTTATTTGATCAAGATTGGAGTGAATCCTTTCATATTCGGCGTGACAAAATCTTAGTTTTTAATACAGATTTTGGTAGCACTCGGGAGAAAGTACGTTTCAGTTTCGGTAGTTGACAATGTAGGTGTCAGACCTTGGGAGTATTTGTTACCTTAGAAATAGATATGGCGTCAATCTGCTGTACTTTCTCGACTCTAAGAAGAGTGGAAAAATGTCTTAAGCAGATGACCGATTAACTTTACGCGACCTTGTTTCTCCCACGGTTCCTTCTCCTGCTGAGGTTTTTTTCTGGCGGTCCTTTCTCCTTTTCTGCTTCAGGGCTTCAGTTTATATCGTTTTGATGAGGCTCCCACCTAGAGTACTGGCGCGAACATTGGTTTCGGCTAAAAAATGTCCCTTTATATTCATTTTTGGATTAGCCAAAATTATTTAATTTTCAGGCGTTTCTTTCTGTTTAACTTTTTATATATATATATCGGAAGTTATGCGAGGAGCCTCTCTGATTTTTTGGTAGTTTTTAGTCACAAATGGCTGGGTTCAGATTTCTTCTTGTTCCTTTTTTATATTTAATGTTTGTCTTCTCGTCGGTTGAGAGAGAATTAGAGAGAGAGGGAGACAGAGACACAGAGAGAGAGGGAGAGAATTAGTGAGAGAATTAAAGAGAGAATTAAAGAGACAGAGAATTAAATACAGAGAATTAGACAGAAAGAAATAGAGAGAGAATTGGACAGAAGGATTAGAGAAAGAGAGAGAGGAAATTAACGACAGAGAATTAGAAGGAGGGAATTAGAGAGAAAGAATTAGAGAAAGTAAGATAAGTACAAAGAGAGATAATTAGAGTGAGAATTAGAGAGAGAGAAAGAGTGAGAATTAGAGAGAGAGAATTAGAGAGAGAGAATTAGAGAGAGAATTAGAGAGATCAATTTACAGAGAGAGAATTAGAAGGAGAGAATTAGAGAGAAAGAATTAGAGAGAGTAAGATAAGTAGAAAGAGAGATAATTAGAGTGAGAGAGAAAATTAGAGAGGAAAAGAATTAGAAAGAGAATTGGAGAGAGAATTAGATAGGGGGAGAATTAGAGAGAGAGAGAGAATTAGAGAGAGAAAATTAGAGACAGAGAATTAGAGAGATGATTAGAGAGAGGAGAAAGACTGAGAATTAGAGAGAGAGAAAGAGAGTGAGAATTAGAGAGAGAGAATTAAAGAGATAATGAGAGAATTAGAGATAGAGAGAGAGAGAATTAGAGAGAGAGAGAATTAGAGAGAGAGAGAATTAGAGAGAGAGAGAGAGGGGAAAAGGTCTTTCAAGGAAAGCAAATGCCTTATTTTAATTTTAATTCTTTTTTTTTCTTTTTTTTAAATATTTTATTTTCATATTTTAATTAACATTTTATCCGGACTGTACATATTGATTTCCTCAGTAGAATACCGTTTATTTTTAACATTTATTCGCTGTATTTAACTAACTTATAATTTATACAAAATATTTGCTAATATTCGAAATTTTTTCGCAATTTCTATTTATCCATTTTAGCCGAGCAATTTTTGTTATGGTTTAAATTCTCTTTTATTCGGAATCACTCGTTTGTTTAAACTTTATTCAGTCATTCAAAAACATTTTTTCGATCACTTAAATTATACGATGTGACCCTCATACGTTGATTGATTGATTTAATCTTTACATCTTATCAACCATTTTTTAGAGTTTATTTAAAGCCGAAACATATTTTTATATTATAAGAATCTTTTGGAGATAATACTGATTTTCTGACACAAGTCTTACTATTTAACCCATAGCAGCGAGAAGAAGAGGTGGATAAATATCTTCCCCAAGGTTATTTGCACGTAAGTGAATGTAATGAACTCAACTAGAATTCGAACACAGCTTTCCGTTAGTCATTACACCACCTGCCCATCTAAGTTTACAGGACCGGCTATTCCCGAGCGGTTACCCATCTAGGTACTGACCAGTTTCAACGTTGCTTAACATCGGTGATCGTATGAGAACCGGTGTTTCAACACGATATTGCCGGAAGTCAGCCTCATGCAAGGAATTTGAATAACACAATGCCAAGATCCTTTGCAAAATAACTAGAGGTTCACCGTTCCTACCCATTCAAGCTTACGTTTATTCTCTTTCTTAATTAACTCTATCACTGCTCAGTGTATCCTAGGGTCAAATATACAACTATTTCGGTTAACAAAGAGAGTCTATATCCTTCTCTTTCTTTATTTTTTTCCTTTGCTCCCTTCCACTTTCACACTCTACCTCTCACTATTTATCTCTCCCTATTTCCCCCCCCTCTCTCTCTCAATATATATATATATATATATATATATATATATATATATATAGTAGACTGTTTTTTTCTTTAAATTGAATTATTCGCTGTGACTTAACATTTGGCTCTCTGGATTTCATCCTCCTTGGGATTATCCATACGGATTACCAACATTTTCCTCACTTAACTATATATATATATATATATATATATATATATATATATATATGAAGAAATATAGTCTCGATATAGCGCCTATATATAGTCATGGCTCGTGGGTCACAGTCCTATGGGTAAGGTAAACTCGGATGAGTTACACCACGGAATATGTGATCGAGCGGCGCTACATCGAGTCTAATTCGCTATCTCTTCCGATTCCTGTTGGTACAGTTGGTATGGCGTTTGCCAGATAACGTAACTGTCCGTGTTTCAATTCTCGGCAGTGGATGCGCACTGCTGATGAGTCCCATATATAGGACGAAACGGCCGTCCAGTGCTTTTTGCATTCTGTTGAGCTTTCTTCTAGACTCGATGAATTACTTAATTATGATTATCTCAAATTCTCCTAATAATTTATATATAAAAGCCATTTTTAGCCATTGATCATATATGTTAATGCTAATATTAGCCGTTTACTTATAAGCAAATATTTCTCCCCCAATGTTCGAACACCCAGTGCTGCAGTCGGTTGAAATATATAAAATCTTTCTCTTAAAAAAAATTTTCAGTAAAATAACTTTTTCATGTCCCGGAGCAGTTACACACTTGCCAGCATTGATGGGGATTTCGTTCCCAACCTTTTAGTGTAGAACATCAACATCTAAATTATGTCATTATTTTCTCGTTGAGTGATGTGCTATTCATTTTAGTTGTTGATCCTGCTGGGAGTCCTCAAGATGTGTGATTTCTGATATTTGATACAGTCGATACTTGTTTGTGATTGTGCAGCGCCAGTTCGCACTGTATGATGAAGGATAGCCCTCACTGAGACATATAGGTTTCGTAATCACGAAGGTATTTTTAACCATTGATCATAGGAAGCGATTGCATACAGCTGGCAGTTTAGATATTTCTGAACAGGTTTGGCGCCATGAATAACATCCATATGAAAGTCTCCCTCTGACAATGATACTTAAAAAATATGACATGAATATTTAGGTTAACTTTTTGGCATTGTAGCAATTTGCGGTGTTTGGCGAAACTACCCCGAACACAGCCTATTGTATCTTCAATTTCTTTACTTCCTGCTCCTTTGAGCGTCTACTGGGCCTTAAAATCAGCTCAGACCTCAAGTGGTGTTCGTACATAAGATCGTAAAAGATACTGAGAAAAATGGTCGGAGCTCTGTACCGCTCCAGTAAGTGCCTGATTTCTCCGCTTATTCTCTACCTTTACAAGAACGAGATCACTCCTTAAAAGACATATAGCACATTGGATAAAGGCGATAGTTAGATCCAGTGACAGGACCCAAAGAGTGTGAGTTCAATACCTAGTAAAGCGGTGGAGAACTTGAGAGGGGAATTAACAGGAGATAACTGATAACTGACATCCATTAGACATGGCACGTGGAACAAGAACAGTGTACCCCAGTGAGCGAAATAAAGGGTTCAGTTCGACATTCCAACCACCTGAAGAAGGCCACTCTCAATAGAGTCCAAAAGATCCTCTGTGTCTTTGTAGGGGACAAATTATTTTCCATCCTACAAACCCCTTTTCTTACAGACAAAACTTTGCAAGTCTTTCAATACTCTATCGCTATTTCCATGGAAACTGCTCAGACGTACAATATTCCTTACTTCCACCAAGTCTTATCTTCACGCCTAAAATCTGCCATTTTACGCACATTGTAGGGAACCACCGTAATTCCTTGAATTAAAGGGAAATAACTGAGACACCCAGAAGAGGCATGACACGTGGACCTAGAACACTCTACCCCGGTGGACGGAATAATGGGTTCAGTTCAAAATTCCAATCACCTGAAGAAGACCGGAGTGTACAACGGCCGAAGCGTTGTTAATATGACAATGAAGATAAAGATGACAGTCCGAATAATGTAAATAATGCAAGTAATCATAATACCTCATCTCAGAGATATAGAGGCCGAAAAGTTGTGAATATGGCAAAGAAGATGAGGGTAACAGTCTGAATAATGTAAATAATGCAAGTAATCATAATACCTCATCTCAGAGATATAGAGGCAGAAAGGTTGTGAATATGGCAATGAAGATGAGGGTAACAGTCCGAATAAAATGAATAATGCAAGTAATCATAATACCTCATCTCAGAGATATAAACAGATAGTGAAATCTTCAGGTAATAACGGGATCAGGCTACATTGGCATTGATCAATCGTCCTTCACACCCAATCACACAAACACACACACACATATGTGCGGTTGGATATAATAAAATATAGTTTCAAGGTATACTATATTTATGCGTAAATGTGATCAATATCAGCGGTAGAGCGGATGTAAATATAAAAGTGGTCCCTGGGGTCAATAGTGAGTGGCGACAGTCTGTTTAAGGCTTAAACGCAAGCTTCAGGCAGATATCTCATTATATATATATATATATATATATATATATATATATATATATATGGTGAGTGAGAGGATATGTATGTGTGTGTGTGTGGAGAGAGCGAGATTGAAAGAGAGGGAGAGAGAAAGAGAGAGACAGAAAGAATTTAAGTCTAAGAGCCTCAACAAAGACTGATATTTGTGATTTGTGGATCTCGATCCGTACTACCTTATATAAAAATATGGTCTCTGCGTGTTTTTGTATGCCTATACATATGTGTGTGTGCGTGTTTGTTTATATATATGTGTGTGTGTGTGTGTGTGTGTGTGTGTGTGTGTGCATACACACACACACACACACACATATATATATATATATATATATATATATATATATATATATATATATATATATATTCTATATACTGTATATACTCGCGTATCATGCGACGTTTGAAGACGTAATTTTGAAGCTAATTTGACTACAGTAAATGGATCTATAGTTTGGTCAATGGCGTAGCCAGGACCAGCAGTGCCTACACTAATTTCATATTTCGTGTATGATGCAAGCCGCTTAAAATTTGTTTAAAAATTAGGTCTTCAAAAGTCGAAAGTATATACGATGCATTCGTATATATCAAACAAGACTGGGAAATTCTGTGAGTTTATTTCTTTAATGCTTTTTTTTTTCAATTTTTGAATAAGGTGTTTTGATCGAAATTTCCCCAATTGGAAAATAAAATAAATATTTTATCAGACAAACCTTGTTGGTCCTTTTTAATAAAACTTGAATACTCGCTGCCTTAATGTAACTTGTTCATACAAATATATATATATATATATATATATATATAATAATATTTTTTTGATTAAAAATATGATTCCTTCGCTACATAGGAGTTCTCATGTTTCAAAAAGGAGAGCCGAAAATTTTACTTGGAGATGAAACGGGACTAAACACCACAATTCAACTTAATTTTAATAATTATTTGGATGGTTTCGGCTCTCGTTTTTGAAACATGAGAACTCTTATGTAGCGAAGGAAGCATATTTTTAATCAAAAATATTATTATTATTATAATAAAGCTCTACTTCTGTATGGAGCACTGTCTTCTTAAAAATAAACCAAAAATACTAAGGAACCCTGGATTATGCACCCAACTTGTTCTTTTCTATTTTCTGCATACCTGCGCACCTGGTAGCAGTGAACTACAGAAATGAATGTTTTGATGGAAAAAATGAACTTTTGTCTGTAGTTTTCATTTGTTTTGTTTTTTGTTTTTTTTTAATATGAATTTTGGTCAGTCCTTGTGTTGGTCAATCAGTCTCTTTGAAGTTGTTATTTGAGATAAGAGCTTGATGGATTCATGCTGCTCTGAATTCCCTTGGTCATTTTGACAGTTTTATTGGTTCCTGGAAAGGGGATGTGTCTCTGTTCAGTGTGTGTGTGTTATTTGGTTTTTAGGGAGTGAGTATATGTGCAAGCGTGTATATATATATATATATATATATATATGGTTTAGGTGGGTATTTAGGGTGATGTTGAAAAGTTGATGTCGAAAAGGCTACTTTAAAACGTAAAATAATGCTTTAAAATATTAACTATGTCTTCGATACCGACTATGCCATAATTTGGTAATGTATATATAATTAGGGATAGTTATTCTTCGTCCGTTTTAGCTGAATAAATTCGAAATACGTCTTAGAATTTGGCTTGTCAAAGTTGCTGAATAAGAAGGCATTTTAATATAATAAATGATTTGTATTTTAATGCTCTATCTCTTACCGAAATAGTATCTTTCCATGTATATACATTCGTCATGTATTAGATTCGATTTTTTCTGGCAATGATTACTTAAGGAATGTTTTGTTCTAAAGCTTAACTCTAAAATGCAGGTAATTGTCGAATCAGTGGTTTAAAAATGTAACTTTTTAAGGGACTAGTATTTGAGGGGCTAGAATTGTGTAGGTTATAAAGGGACTAGATTTAGATTTTATTCAGCTTTTTGTAGACTTGTTATGTTATTTCAAAATGAGAGCAAATTCAATTTCTGATGTATTAATTAACTTTCATATTATCTTGTAAATTTCAAATGATTATCATAAACACATATTGATATTGTAAATATTTTTCGTTGTGTTTCTCAGTTATATAAAAGAATATATGGTGACCCACAAATAGAATTAAGAAAGTTGCTAGTTTAAAAGCCAAAAGACGGGAATGTGATG